ATTAGTAAGCTAATTAAATTCGGTAGACCGGGTTTCCACATTACCCAGCAATTCTCCCACTTGGAGGCTAGGACACTGGCTGCATCATCTACTAGTTGTACCGACATTTTCTTCAAACATGATATCCTCAACATCTACAACTCAAAGCCCTGGTCTTTATGTCAGAAGACCAGCTGAAGTCGAGCATAACTTCAACTTCTCACGAGTAACACTCTAAGTTGACATATCATTGTCAACGTAGCCTTATATCACCAAGCTCTTTCTTGGGTTACTCTTGTATTTGCTTACAACTCATCATTGTCAACGTAGCCTTATATCACCAAACTCTTTCTTGGGTTACTCTTGTATTTGCTTACAACTCCCACTGCATGAGCAATATCTTGCCCCTACTAAAAGCCCTTTTCAACAAGTCCAGCCTTGTACCTCTTACTGCCACCAAACGCAATCTCACCCGGTACACCCACTTGCTGTGCAATGTCCTTTTCCTTGGTAGAAGTTGTGTCAGCTCCCAAGTCTGATTCCCTGACAGGGAATCCATCTCTTCCTTCTTGGTCAGCTCCCACTTGCTTGAATTCTCATTTTGCAAGACTTCTTCATAGCACTGTGGTTCTTCGTCATTTGTCTATGCATGGTCTGATTTTCTTGCCTTTGGCGCTCTGCCACTTTTCAGGAAATCGACATTCTTCTGCTTTCTCATAATGCACATCTGACTCATGTGTCAAGGCCTAAGTAAATTTGTAGTCATATATTGAGTGTCAGTTTTCTTACCCCGAGCTAATACTAATGCTCCTTTGGTAACCTTTCAGGTAGTATCTGAGAACACCACCGAATGACCACCATTATTGAGCTGCCCAACAAAGATGAGGTTTTTCTTCAACTCAGGATTGTGTCTGACCATTTGTAAAGTTCATTTGCTCTTATTAGGGAGTGCAATATCAATGTCTCTCATTCCCACCACATCCAGAGCTTTTCCATCAGCCAAATATACATTCCCAAAGTTACCTGCAACATAATTTCGCATTAACTTCCGACGGGAAGATTTATGGAAGGAAGCCCCTGAATCTAGTATACAGTCATCAACAGAACTGTGAACTGCCAGAAATAGTGCATCATGTATTTCTTCAGTTACAACATTAGCGTCATCTTCCTCCTTCTTCTTAGGATTCATGTAGTTCCTTTTTTATGTGGCTAGCCTTGTCACAATCCCAGCAAGTTATCTGTTGACCAGACTTTGATTTTGATCTTCCTCTGTTTGAGTTCCTGTCATGTGATCTCCCTCTGGAATCAACATTCAACGCAAAACTTGAACACGAGGTCTCGTCAGAATCCTTCCTACGCATCTCCTCAGCCAAAATCAAATCACTAATATCATCATATTTCAGCTTAGATTTACCTGTAGAACTACTAACTATCATTCTCATGGCTTCCCAACTATTTTACAATGAAAACAACAATATCAGCGCACGTATCTCATCATCAAAATCAATTTCAACAGACGACAATTGATTTGTGATAGTATTTAAATCATTTAGGTGTAGAGCAACAGACACATTCCGTCATCTTTAAGTTGAATAACTTTTTCATCAAATGTATCTTGTTATTCGTCGATGGCTTTTCATACATACTTGATAAAGCCGTCATGAGATCTGCAGTAGTAATCTCCTTGATGATGTTGTGGGCAACTGATCTCGACAGGGTTAATCGAATAACCCCCAGAGCCTGTCGATCCAACAGATTGATCCAACATATTTCATTCCGTCTTGTCCATCTTTTTTGACCGCTTTCCCAGTAACGGAAGATGAACTTTCTTCCCATAGAGGTAGTCATCTATATGCATCCTCTAGTAAGTAAAATCTGTGTCATTGAACTTCTTGATCCCCGATGTTATCACTTTGTCTTCATTCTTCGTTCTTCCTTAGATCCGAACCCAAGTCTTTGATACAAGTTGTTGTAAAAAATGACGACAATAAAGCAAAAAATAAAACTAGAAAAATTGCATGCAGGAAAAAAACCAGAGCGACACACAGATTTACGTGGTTCTGCAAATTTGCCTACGTCCACGGAGCTGTAGAAGATTTTATTTCTTCAAGGAATTACAACTTCGAGCGCCTTGACGTTTACAAGAAAATATATATTTTCTTCTCTCCCTTATTCTCTCTTTCTCTTTGTCTTTTAGCTCTCAAGAGGACTTGGCTTTGCCTTGCTTGGCTTGACCCTTGGCAGGGCTTATGACATGTCATAAGAGGTTATTTATAGAAACCAACAGAGCGGTAGGTGGGAGGTAAGTGAGCGGTAGGTGGGATGTGGTAGGGGAGCAGTAGGTGGAAAGGTGGGTGAACGATATGTGAGATTCTTAATTAGGAAGCTAATTAAATTCCGTGGACCGGATCTCCACATTACCCAACAGCTTTGAGGGCAGCGGTGACCCTCGGGGCGAGGACGCTGAGGGAGGCATGAAACATAGCGGTTGTGCTTACGGTGGAGAAGAGAGAATATTCGGGTTCAGAAGCAGCTGAAATTCTTCGCGGCTGCACCTAGGGCTGTCAAAACAGCTCCTTGTTCACGAACAGCTCGAGCTCGGCTCGTTAAGAAGTTTGTGTTCGGCTCGTTCGCTAAATTAATGAGTCGAACAAGAATAACATGAACAAAGATTTGTACGTTCGTGGTAGGCTCGTTTTGGCTCGAAATACTACTAATCAATTGAAAAATTTAATTGACTATGAAGCTATAATATATATCTTTGATGAATAATATTTTTTAAAATTTAATTGACTACAAAGCTTCAATTAAAATTATTAATGAAGAAAATAGAATAAAAATTATTAAATTAGATTTAGATGATGTTTTAAAATTTGCCTCAATCCTTAATATCTTATGACTACGTGATTAGGGTTGTAAAAATGACTATTTGTTCGTGAACGGCCTTTCCGGCTCGCAAAACAAACAAGCCAAACACGAACACACTTTTTAAGCTCGTAATATAAACGAGCCGGGCACGAGCTGAGTCTTGGCTCGCTCTTGTTCGGCTCCTTTACACCTCTAGCTGCACCTATAACTATTACTTTTAGTTCGAGCGATGAGCTTCAACCCGAGAAAGATTTCTCGGGCATTTATAGCTTTGAGTTTCTTGCTCGTGGAGCCGAGCTTCTAAAACGAACCAAGAAAGGTAACAAAAGACGCCAAGAAACTTTTCGGTGAAGTTTTCTTGTGCGAGTGTTTCATGCTGAGAGTGGAAGTCACGCCGTAACAAAAATCTTCACCTACAAATTTAGTTTTTCTGTGTCTTTACATGTAATAAGCATTATTTGAAGATCTCCATACAAAAAAACCCCCATTTTTTTTCCAAAATTATTTTTCAATGAAACCATATCCTAATTTAGAAATTGATACTAATTTGAGAGAAAATTAGTTCAGATATTCTGATGAATAATATTCTATTTCAAAATGGTTGAAAGTTTGGTTTTTTTTAAAAAAAAATTGTCAATAGTGTGGTTTTATTTTAAAAAATTTCTAACACCGAACCTTTTCTTTTAAAATGAAAAAAAGTGGATCTTTTGTAAAATAATGACCGACGCTATCTTTATTTTAAAAATTGTTGATGATGAGCCTATTGCTAAAATGTGGTTTAGGTAGCATGCCTGATGGTGACAGCAGCATACTTCATGACAAGATACACCAATACAGTGACGTCCTCATAGTTATCTACACTTGTCGCCATTGTTGCCATGGAGAAAACTCTGCAAGTCAATTTTTAGATCTCGCCAACATGATCCATTGCCGCCAAATCATAGAGTACAGATGGCCTTCATAAGAGCCAAGTTTATTAGATTCTAATCATGCTTGAGCTAGTTTTTAGAGGAATTTGATTTCAATAAGCATTTTGCGGAAACAAAAATTCATCCCTCAATGATATGGTTGTAAACGAGCCGAGCTTAAGCGAGCTCAGGCTTGGCTCGTGTTCGGCTCGTTCGAAATAGCTCGTGTTCGAAATCGGCTCGTGTTCAGAATAGAATTGGCTAATGAACAGTGTGTTCGTGTTCGGCTCGATTTAAATATTCCTGTTCGTGTTCGGCTCGAAATTGGCTCGTTAAAATTAAATTAAAAAAAATAGATGTAAAGAGTGAGATTCGAACCTGGACCAAATATATACAAAATAAGAGATTAACCGCATTACCACATGAAATGTTATGATTTAAATTTATATATAAATATATATAACATATTATTGAGAAACTGTTCGTGTTCGACTCGTTTATAATTTGAGCTTGAGGAACTGTTCGTGTTCGACTCGTTTATAATTCGAGCTTTAAAAATTTATTTGTGTTCGACTCGTTTACTTAACGAGCGAGCTGAACACGAGCTACTTAACGAGTCGAACACCACGAACAACGAGTTTTTTTGACAGCCTTACTTAGAATTCTTTTTTGACAGCCCTACTCATTGAGGCTAATTTCACTCAAAATGAATTTCAAACTGTATTCTTCAAATAAATTTATGACATGTATATTTAGTGAATCTAATGTAATATGAAGCATATAAAGCCACCCCTTTTTTTTTCTTTTTTTTTTTTACAATGACCATAGGTTCAAGCCATCCATCCAAGTTTAGTAGCCATCTATTGAATCCTTTAAATTTTCTCAAGAACCATGCATTGTGCAAAAAAGTTGTAATTAAATTGATAGAAAATACTACATTCTAAACCTATAATTGTACTAATATTCATTCTTTCAAAAAATATAAACAATATACGCATAGCTAAAAGTAAGAAACTTCAAGAATTAAATCAAAATTTATTTAAAAAAGCCCACTCTGTCTGACTCAAACTAACTCTTCTTTAATGATCCACTCTTTATATGTCTGACTCAAACTAAGTTGGTCGGCTATGTGTGTGGTCCTAGGTCGTCCTGAGTGGGTCTCATGGGACCACGTCACCTCTTCCGCCAACAACAATATATTAAATGTTAGTAAATAAATATCTAATTAAAGTAAATGTTGAAATGTTGAAAATAAATGTTGATCCACTCTTTAAATGTCTAAATGTCATTTACTTACTAACATTCATTTATTTACTAACATTTTGAAACATCAAATAGATGACTCGCCCTCTGCACCATTACAACAGAACAGAAAGTTTCACTGAGAGCCACTTTCGATATATTTCCCAACATTACAATTCAACTAATTACAAAACTGAACTTTAACGATTAGAAGATGCATATCAGCTTGATACAGGAAGCCATGATGCAGCACCTCTTGATCTCTGCTATGCCTTTCTGGGACTTGAAGGAATGGTGGAATAGATCGGCATAGGCTGCGAGGAATGGAAGAAGAGGCATACTGCTGAGCAGTCATCGACTGCGATGCCTCGCCTCTTACGCTTCCATGCATGAATGGCACATTTAACGAGCTGCCGGGCTGATTTTCTTCTATCTTTGGTTGATGATACAATCTCTATTGCCTCTTGGTTGGACATTACATCCCAAACCTGAAAGGAAACAATCCCAACCGAATGTTCTTTTGAGCAATTCCATTCTAAACAACTTCTAATCATGCTTGAAGAAAATCGAGTAAGCCTCATTTGAATCACAATAAAATTTTAAGAAAATAAAAAATTGAGGAAATTCATCGATTGCTAAGCAAATTCACATTTAAATAAAATGATATCGAGTAATTCTAATGACAAGTAGATGTCATGTGAGATTCAGAGCGACTAATTGGGGAGAATGTAAAACAGAGATGAAGGGTTAGATAGAGGTTGGGCTAAATATAGCAATTATTAAATCTATTTTCAGCTAAGGTTAGATAGAGGTTGGCCTAAATATAGCAATTATTAAATCTATTTTCAGCTAAAAAATGTATGCATCAAGGTCAATCACTTGAACTTTGGTTGATCATGGTACAAAACGGTCAGGACCGTTCGAGCCGCAAACTATAAGAACCATTCAATTTTAGCCAGATGATCATCCTTGATACTATTTGTTAGAATATCTAAAATAGAGAGGGGCCAAAGTTGACATAGAGATACAAACGCGGGAAGATTCATGCTGTAGTGTGAGTGGGTATTAATTTTCATTCCTTTGTAAAAATAAGAATTTTTAGAAGTTTACGTGCCCTCAATTTATCATTTTGCCCGATCCAAAAAATAAAGACTCAACTTTACCATCTGTTTATATTTTCCTAAAATTTTAGATTCAAGTATACTTTTATTTCCTTTTCATAAATTTAGTAACATTATCTTATTAGTTATTTGTACTTTTCTATATATATTAACTATATGCATATTTATCAATTTTATTATTATTATTATTATTATTTAATACCTTAAATTTTACCCGCCCTAAAAAAATGACCAGACCCGTCTCTTTCTATTCAATAATCCATAAATACAATGAAATACATATAGTTGAATTTCATGCAATTCCAAAGCTATCTGAATGGATAAAATTTGATACTGCAAACAGTATTATCGAGCTGCCTCCACCTACATTCAAGAGAAGATCCAAGCGTTGCACCAATACTATGGATGAGAGTAGAACATGTAACATTAGAATTTGTAGTTTATGCACAAAAATAAAGCACAATAAATCTACATGCCCGCATAACCAATAAAATAATAAGTCTAATTTATTTAGTCTGCTTTTTGAACTTTCTTTACTTTGTTAGTGAAACTCTCACGTACTAATAAATAGTCTACGTGAAGATATCATGGCCAATGAGTGACATGGTCAACAATGGGTCGGTAATACTTGTCACCATCCCCTTAGCTTTGTTAGATTCTAGTTTTAAATGTGCTCCTATGATTATCTCATGAAATAAAGTTTTATTCCTAATTATTTTATAACAAAACTTATTTGATCTATGATATTCTTGTAGTGTTTTAAAGTTTTTAGTGATATCAGAATCTTTTTCTTTCATAATTTTTTTGTATTAAATTTCTTTCATATTTTGCATTAGATGAGCATATATATATATATATATATATATATATATTAGTTTTCACACGCTAGTTAGCATGTAATTTGTGTCAAGTTTCTTGTGAGCATATTGATTACGTACTTTGCTAGTGCATTCATCAGTCTTTAGAGGATTATTTTCATGCATGTAATTTAATTTCTTTTATTGAAAAAAAATTATCTATTTAGTTTCCATGATTCATATGATAAATGACTAGTATTTTACATACAGGTATCATGGCTAAGAAAAGACTAGACATCACCGTGGACAACGGGGAGACAATGAGAAGGCTCGCCACCAGCAGATATACATCCTAACATTATTGTTTTATGTGGCTCGCATCTAGTTACACATTCCGACGCATTCATTTTATAAAACTTTATCAACTTTGATAGAATGACTTTATTTATATTCTATATTATTAGAGCACAATTCTAAAAGCAACATCATATTTGGTCATAGTTCGGGAGTGGCAGATCACGTGTCCCTAATTCATAAAGGGTCTACGTTAGGTTGATTTGGATTGTATCAGACATCTACATTATATCAAGCTTCATCATCATTTGTTTTGTGTATTTGTGAAGTGATTGTCGTCTAACGTGAACCCATTTCATCTTCCTGTGAGCAACATGACTGTTACGCTACAGGATATTGGGATGTTACTTGTTGTGTTCATCGACAGACCAATGATCAATCAGAATATAGTGAGGGTTGGGCGCAGGTGAATTTCATGGTCTGATTGTTGCAAAAAACTTCTAGATGATCATCTTAAAGTAGGTCTCCTATATCACACCCTACTGATCGAGAGTAAACATCAACTGTTAGGAGGGTCAAGCACAAAAACGTACATGCATGCCTCTCAAATGACTGCAATGAACTTCTAGTCATGATTCTTATATTAAGGTAGAAAATATTATGTTTCAGAGGCACATTCGTGTGTACATCTTATTCATATTATGTTATTTTCTACTGTTTGTTGGATGCAAGATCCATTATATTTATCGTTAATGGAGAATCTTGAAATTTTTTTTTAAGTTACTCATTGGGTGGTGCAGTATTATCCCGTCAATATAGATAACTGAAATTTGTTATGAAATCAAGTCGGATGTCATGATGTCTACACTTTCTACCAATTTTGAGCTGGGAGCATCTACATGTTAGCGACCAACATTTCATGTGTCATACCCTCAGTCCTTGGAAAGGAAAAGCCTCAAATTCCGATACACATTGTCTGATTTTAAATAAAAAGTAATATTGTTGTTTATTTACTTAAAGTCAAATAATAGGTGAAATAAGCATTCCGTGCAAAAAAACTTATAACCAACATAAAAGTGTAGAAATGAGCTTAACGGGTTATTTGAAAGTTGCGTTAGTACAATCTTAAATGTAAATATAATATTTTATTTGTTTCACTCTTGTAGATACATAACAAATTCAGTTAGGAGTTTAGTGTCCAAATTATATGGGTGGTGCCTTATAATCACCAAATATTGATACGAGCGGCTAATATATGCACTACAAAAAAGGAAATTTAGCGAGCATGTGTTCCATTAAGTGGAGAAGAGTTGAGTGACACTTGATAGCATCATGAGACAGTTTGGTAAGGTTTAGCTAATAAAGGTTAATTTCACATATATAAATGGTAGAGGAAAGCTAGATATGAATTGGATTGACTATTATCAAAATTATAAATAAATGTGGGAGAATAGACATTCTTTCTCAATCCACTATGATAATATGAACATTGATGTGAGTAAAACACATAGATAGTATATACGTTGGTATAGATATTGGGTTTCTTTGTACTTGCTATAAGCTCCAACTTAAGCTCCCACGCAAGACTAATGATCCAAAAGCACTAGATGAAAGAATTTTGGTATTAAAATACATATTATCAAATGTTTAAGTTATGAATTAATGCTAATAAGTTTAATTTGTTTGTAGCGTCATCATTTCTTAAAAGCAGAGTTTCTTCAACCATCATTTAGGAGATATGATGACAACCCAATTCAATAAATGATATATGCATTTGATGGTTTCTGAGATAAGTTCGTTTACATGTACATATTATACATAGTCGTTACAAAGCAGAGAGCATTGCAGGGCATCCATTCGCATCAGGCATTAAATTCTCTAGCAGTTATCAATGTTGTAACAGTTTCTCTTATTGATTCCAGTCCATCAACCGTCCATAACACAGATTGATTGCAAGATGCACACTCATTCATTAATATACAGTGACTCTAATCACAGTAGTAAGTGTCATGTATATATCACATTATCAAAGCTTACTCTCACTTTGAATGAGTGGTGCAACTTTCTCACTTAGATCACCCTATAATGAGCAATTTTGGATGTTTCCCCCAATTCCACCTCAATAATCATCATTCATGACACAAACTGATTAAATGTCATAAACACAATAATTTAAGAAACAAAATCAATAACACCATTTAAGAGATCGGCCAGTTCATGCACTTAAACATTGCACAATGAGTATTGATCTAATACCTCCAAGAAGAATAGTTTTAAATGTCTCCCTTGATTTTTTGATTATTTTTATGGGCAATCGTGGATGTCTCCCCCAATTTTGGATGCTGACATGCTTAAGTATTTCAGGTTGCTTTAATTTCGTAAGCACAATGTCGCACTCCATCATCTTTAAGAATAACTGACAAGCTAACCATGGGAAAGAAAGATTCTAGAGAATATCAGAACGTAAAGAGAAATCCAAGAAACTCTAGAAGATTCCACGATATTCTAGAAAAAAACTAGAAAGAAGGAGAATATTCCAAAGAATTCTATAAGGTTCCACATAATTCCAGAAATATGCTAAAAGAAGCAAGTTTCAAGAGAACTCTAGATTATTCTGGAAAGTTCTAGAAGCATGTATATGTAAAGAACAATGTAGAACTATCTAGAAGATAATATATTCTAATGTAATATAGAAAGTTCCCTTAAGCTTGGGGACTATAAATAGAAGTCCCTCCCTCTCATTTGAATCCATCCAAGAACTATCTTCCCATGCATTCAAGTGTTGTAATCACACTTTCTTAGTGAAATGTTTCTTTCTTCAATATTTCTCTCTACTCTTCTTCCTATAGTGTTTTTTGCTTACAAGTCCAAGCATTGTGAGGGTTGGGCTAATTTAATGCCAAGAAAGAGTAACCACACAATTGAATTGAGATAAGTTAGTTCGTGATAGTAGGCTGCAAAAAAGTCATCTGAAATGGTTTATTAAAAAAATTATTCTGACAAAATCGTCAAGTAGTTGGGTGACTTTGCCAATGTGGCATAGTTGCCTTGCCACATGGCGATTTTGTCAATTTATACATATTTTAAATTTTTTTATTTAAAATATTAAATTTTTTAAAATGTTATTTTTAAATTTTTTCATAACATAAAAATATATCATAATTTGGATCAGAAGTACTCCAAAAAAATTCTAAAATTTTGCCTCAAACAAACTATTTGTATTTACATTCTGTATGATCATCAAAGAGGGATGGAACTCTGCATGATCTGACGCTCTTTTCTAAATTGAGCGGTTTGATGAAATTATATGAAGACTGAGAAGTTTCATCCGATGATTTCCAGGTCTAGAGTGTTTTAAGTTGGCTGATAATCTAAATTAGACTAGTTTCAATATTATCTGAATATGAGCTACCAAAAATCACTCAATTATGAATTACGACACGAGCTAAATTTAAATTGAAATAAATCCCTCATTTATTCAATATCTATTCTTAGCATACTAGCATAAGAAAATATAATTTTTTTTATGGCATCTTTGTATATCAATAAACACTGTGTGATTTCATTTTTACTCTTAGAATTATAGGTTTAATTTTGATGTAAACGATGTAAAAGATTGTGCAGAGTGCCGTCAATATTTATTTGAGTGAGCCTAATTAACTCAATTAGGTTTATTTTTAATAGATGCAACAAAAGGACTTTGGATCTTTATACTTTGTTTATGAATTTTTATTAATCAATGGAATGCACAAGTTGTTTTGGTTAAAAAAAAGTATGGATTTAGTACTTTTTGATTATTTGTGGCAAATATCAGCAAATTTTTTTAATAAATATGTTTTATTTTAATGTTTTTGTAATGTATCGTAGTCACCTCATCTAGTTGTTATCCTATAATTTTTTTGGCAATTGTTGGGGTGTGGCATATGACTTAATACATCGATATCCTGAAAAGCAAAAGTTGATGTATACTTAACCCAAAACCAGTTTTTATTGATCACATAGCTTTCCTACACAAATTTATTAAAATATTACTGTTAATTTTATGAACAAACTCACTCATTTTCATTGTTCCAACTCTGATAACTCATGCGTTAAAAGTTTTCTACAAGTACAACAAACAAAATCTCATCCACACTGCTATGCACCATATCTATTTTATGATACATATAGCAGTCAAATGAAGATTAAATCATATAATAAATAAATAATTCATTTGCTGCAAATGAGAAAATTACTAAAATTAACTACAACATCAAACTGGGCAGAACAAAATAGCAAATATGACTCAAGCATCTTAAAAAATAAATTACTTACACCATCCGTGGCAAGCACAATAAACTGATCTCTTCCAGATATAAGCCTTTGAGTCACCTCAGGAACAGAGATAACCCCAAAGTCCTTAACGCAATAGTCTCCAAATGCTCTCGACATAGCCAGCCCAGGCATTTCTGCATTAGGCAGCCATATCCTATGCACACCAGGTTCATCTCGTAAGCAGAACACGCGGCCATTACAGTGCTTAATGCGTTCAGCTTCCTCTACAAAGACAGTGCTGATACATTAGTTATTAGTAGCAGTAAGTCTAAATTTTTGTTTAATTGATTATAAAAAACTATTTTTTAAAGACTTAAATCAATGATTTGGAGAAGGTGAAGACTTACGAGGTAAATTAGGCTTGAAATCAACAGTAAGTTGGACGGGAACCAAGCGGCCATCATCAGCTCTAGTGGCCATAACAGCACGGGAGTCCCCAACATTAGCTATCACTAAGAGTTGGCCCTATAGAAATTTTGACACCCACAAATGCTGATCAGGTTCTGTTAGAATATTTCTAGGGAAGTTATATTATTTCAGTAGTGAAATTTATAATGGATAAAGCAATGTATAGGCATCGGCATGCTTTGAGAATTATACTAAAGGAATGGAAGGAGAGTTTATTTAGAGTTTTTATTTTTTGTAGCTTCTAGAAGTCATTATAATAAGTCAGCTCTTTTAAGGGTTAAACTTGAAGAGCCAAAAGATTATCCAAGATTAGAAATAAAATGTGTATAGAAAAATAACAGAAAAGCATGAATGAAATCGAAATGGATTTATTTTTGAAAAAATACATCATTTTCCAACTAAGATGAGTCCTTTGAAAAAGAAAATAATGAAACATACCAGGGTATATTATCTCCTACTTAAAACTGATAAAAAAATACTTGTATATACTTTCCCCACCCGGCAACCCCACACCACACACACACTATAATAAATGCAGGCTGATGTTTTAAACTTCATATCTATAATAAATGAAATCAATACCACAGCCAATCAAGAACTTCAACACCGAATATAAAATTTTGATAAATATAAGGCATTACCATGAACATTGAACCTTCAAACTAGGTTAGCTAGCTGTTGAACCTTCAAACTTTTTGCTGCCTGAATTGCTAATCTACGTTGCTAATCTTTATATTAGTAAAGTTGAAAGCTTTATCAAATTTAATTCTTGTCTCACGAATTCCACACAACTTTATGTAGTAGCAATGCATCCACATGGCAGCCCAGGGTATTTATTGAAATGCAAATTATAACTATTAAAAAATTTAACAGGTACTCTTATCTAAAAGGACCTTCAATTTAGAAGTTTTCGTTTAGATTCATCCTGATACAGAAAAATAATTCATTTACACTCACGCATGGCAGGAAACAGAGAAGCTGGGGCAATAAATGCATAATGATTAATCAATGCAAAAAAATAATAATAAATACACACACATAAATAACATACATAAAGATTGTCAGGCACAGTAAAAGCTATAAATTGAAAAATAGAATCATATATTTAATTTAATCCCAACCTGTTTGACAATAGAGAGAGCAGTGGTGCCACTATTGAAGGAATCTAGCTTGGGATCTTCTTCAAGCTCCTTATCTATCGCAGCACAAGATCTTATAAATGACTCCTTCCACATTTCAGAATGGCAAGTGATTGGACAATTATCATCAAGGGAGCTCAAAGCAAGAGTTTTCTGCCAGTTGCAGAGCAGAGATGCAGGAAGGGACCTCCGGACCTTTCTAGCCACGTGGTGCCCCCAAGCGCCATGTCCATCAAATATCCCACAGAATATCATGTCTTCTTGAGATCCAAATTCCTGAAAATCAAATTGAAAAATCACACAAATATACTTTAGAGAAATGTTTCATCTAAAAGCAAACTTAAGAAATCAAACTTCATGCAAACTAATGATCAAATTTGACAAGCTGAGCTCACAAAATCGGGTAACTTTTATAATTCCAGTAGAATACTGAGCTATGTGGTTTAATTATTCGCGAGCAATTACAATTTGCAAATGGTGCTGTAGGGTTGCATTAAAGGATGGGCTCGAGATGGAATCATGGAAGCTTCAAAAACCAGCTCAAAGTAAACTTTGAAGATTCATGTTTGCTCTTAAAAGAACAAAGAAAAGGAACTCGTGGAACTTTAAAATCACCAAGTGAATCAGAGATTCCAAATTGTCAGCCAGCAAGAAATTCAACGCCAAAATAGCATAAAAACTCACAAATAAAATCCAGAGGTGAAATCAACAAGAAGAATAAATGAAAGAAGCGATTCCAAAATCGATAAAAATAACATATTAAAATTTTTTTCTGCATTTTAGTAAAAAAAAAACAAAAAAATTGAACTATACCTTCGTTTCCCGGTCGAATTAAGAGTGAAGAAGCAACAATATAAACTCAAATTGGAATCAGACAAGCAAAAAACAGATAGAACCCAACTCCTCATAAGATTTAACGAAGAAGAACAGAGTACAACCTCACAAACAATAGAACAGTCCTGATTAATCCCCTTCTCCCCTCTCCGAGAGCAAGCCGCCGCGAAGCTATTCGATCTTTCCCCACAAACCGTTCCCGAATTCTTCAGAATCAAATTATTCTTCCTTGCCTCCATCAACAGCGCATCCGCCACATCTCTTCCCTCCTCCACCACCTCCCCCCACCCTCTACCGGAATAAAGACCCCTCGCCCACCCATTTATCAACGAAAATAGATCCTTCATGACGCCACCACCTCAAAGCAATCTAAAAAAACCCTAGAAAGCTAAAAACCTCTCCATCTCATCTTCACCCCAGGAAAACAAGAAGAAGAATAAGAAGAAAGAGGAGTAGAAGCACTTGGTTTGGAGTGAACCAAATAGTAATCTGAGGATTAAAGTAAGAACACTATCTCCGCCATGCGAGCTGGTTTTCTTTCGCCGGGACCTACTTCCTCCATGGTCGTCACTTAGTCCACCGTAGTAGCGACGATTGCAAATTACTATATAACCGAGGTGCTCGAATCCACTGGTCGCGATCTCGGATTCATCTCTGTAATGAGATAAACCGTAGCGGAATCATGAGTAGTTAATTTAGGTGGGGTAACGGGCAGCAGATTTCCGACATGGGTCAGCCGCCAGCGTGACGGGAGAGAGGCAGTATTTTTTTTTGGCGGGGAATTTACATATTATAGATTTGAGAAAATATTGTATAATCTGTCCAATAATACGAGTGAATATTTCTCATTTATTATTTATGTGTTATTGTGTGTTATTCATATGTTATTGTGTATTATTCATGTATTATTGATATGTTATTTTATTACTATAACACCGAAAATAATATTATTATTATTCATGTATTATTGATATATTATTTTATTACTATAACACCGAAAATAATATTATTGACATGTTGTTATGTTATTATACTACTTTAAATATTCTCAGAACACAATAACACGTGAATAACATATAATAATATTACGGAATAACTCTGGGGAATATTCACCTATGCTACCATACTGATTGTTTTCCGTCACCTCTACATGACGTGATTTTATTAAACTTCGTACGTAACTTTACACGCGGAGTCCTGATGCAATATTTATACACTTTTTTCTATATATATGGAAAGTTGAATTTCTATATTCCACCTTTTTATATGTAGAAATAGTTGAATTTATATATGGGTGGGAATGTTTTCATGAATTTTGATATTTTAGTGAGAATTTGCAAAATGATTGAAAAGATTGGTTGATTTGTAAATAGAAAGTTTTGGGTGGTCTATATGTCATTGCCCCTAAAATAAATCAAATACTATATTACAATCAAATTTTTATGAAATAGTTTTAAAATAAGTGTTTGAATGTGCAAACCACATTGATTAAAAATAAACAAATTAATTAAAATATTTTTTTCGAAAACATAAAATAAATTTAATATTTAGAGGATAAACAAAAATTAATTTGCATTCAATTTAAAATAAATTTAAGGATTTTGAAAAGTATAAATTAAAAGTTTGATTGGATAAGGATGGTTAAAAGAACGGCGCATTTATTTTTTACTCATAATTAAAAAAACTATTAAAGCATACATATTTAACGCATAAACTTCTATATTTACATACATGACATTCAAAATTTTAATATTATATCTAATATATATTTTTTAAGTGAAATAAATCTCTTATTTATGAATTAAGGATATTAAAATATTATAACTATTAATGTGTGTGAAAATCTATAGAGGTAGTGAAATAAATTAAAGTCTCAACATAATATGAGATCCAACAAAAATAAAATTAAAAGAAAATAGTGGAAGGAGACGCTATGATTTCTCGTCGAAAATCCTAGAAAAGGAAAAGTCAATGGGGTTTAGCATAGTCTAAGTGATTTGCTATGTAATCATAAATATATAGACTCACTCTTCTCATGAATTAGATAAAATAGAATTAGAAAGTTGATGTACAATAATATTTTAGAATTGATAGTCGTAAAGGGTTATAAAAGTTATAGTTGATTGCTATGGAGTTTGTAGTTCGTTGTCAATACGGTGGTTGGAGCATCAGCTTATTGTTAAGGTCATAATTGAAAGTTGTGGCAGTAGTTGGTCATGTATGTCTTGGGTGGTAGATTCAGGTGCTTCTGTTGGAAATATCGGTCGTAGGAGGAAGTTGCATGAGCTATGGACCACGTAGACTGTAGATTATTGCAAATGTCATAGTGGTGAGCTGCAATAACTTTCGTAGGTCTCTGAGGCCTAAGTTGTGAGTTGCATAAGATGTGAACAACATAGGTCGTAGTGATGAGATGTAATTAGGAGTGTGGATGAGTCGAGTAGAGCTCGAGCAATGACAAGCTCAAGCTCATCTTGTCTATCAAATTGTGTGCTTGATCTCAAATTGAGCTCGAATGACAAGATCAAGCTTTGATCGTAGTGGTACCAGTAAACTTACAAGCTCGACCTAAAAATTCAATTTTTGCAGGAGCTCACCGGAGAATGTATTGGTGGGTGAAGGAGGACAATGATGCAGCGATAATTCACCAAAAAATGCATCAGAATGATTAGCGGTAGGACAATCAAGTAGATTAACGAGCCAATGATCTGAGCTGTGATAAGCTCAATCTCAAGCTCATTTAATAAATGAGCTCGAGTTTGAGCTCGATCTTGAGCTTGTTGCTCGATATGTGTGGCTTGTGAGCTCGTTAACCAACTGTGCTCGAGCCGATTTGGCTCATTTACACCCCCTAACTACAATAACGTCAATGGGTTGAAGAAACTAGAGTTTGGAGCTATATGAGTTGTGAACCATGCATGGTGTAGTTGGAAACATAAGCCACAGTTGTGATATGCAATAACATCTATAGGTCATAGAGGTTATAGTTTATAGCTGTATGAATTGTGAGCCACGTAAACATTAGTTGGTCACATAGGTCTTTATGGTGAGATGTAATAACATCTACAAATCACATAGGCCGAAATTAGGAGTTGCATGAGCTGTGAGTCATGTATGTCGTTGTTGGTCACATAAGTCTTTGTGGTGAGATGCAATAATGTGTTCTGCATGAGTTGTGAGTCGTGTTGGTCGTAGTTGGTTGCATAAGCCATAGTGGGGGCTATAGTAGTGTTAGTTGGTTGCCGAGGCCAAAGTAAGGGGCTTCAATTGCAGTGAACCAGATAATTTGTAGGCCATAATGGGAGTTGTAAGGATAAAACTTCTGAAGTTCAAAGAAGGGTTGTACGTCATAATGAGAGTTGTAAGGAGAAAACTTCAGGATTTCGGAGAAAGTCACCATATTATGAGTAAGACGGTTGTAAGCAATTATTACAGGGATTTACACTATCTTCAGGGTGCGTCGTTACAATCTTTGGGGTGAATTGTCGCACCATTTTTAGGGTGCATCATTACACCGTAGTCAAGTTGCAAAATTAGAGCGTCTTCAGAATGCATTGTTATAACGTCTTTAGGGTGCATCATTTCACCGTCTTTAGGATGCAGTGTTACACTGTTTTTAGGTTGTGTTGTTGCATCATTGGTTTCATCCATATCAGTAAGGAGGGGGTGCCCGATAAGCGATGGTCAAATGTGGTCGGCGATTGCGGGAGCAATAAATGTTTGTCGAGTCTTTGATTCATAACAATACTGGAATTTGATTCATTTTTCTCCTAGTCTAGCTCGAGCTCTAGGTTTCTCTCATCAGTCCTTTCATGCAGGGTTCAACCTCTACTTATATAGTCTAGAAGTGGTTTTTCTTCAAATAAGAAAGAAACATGTATCACTCCATCAGACAACCTCAAGAGATTTCATTGATTGGATGTCATTTTGAGGACATTTAAGCGCCTAACAACGTCAACATTGAGTGATCTTGTGCTCGTTTGAGTCATCTTGGTTATAAGCTTATCAGATTTGGAAGCCACTGAAGGCTCTAAAGTGGTTTAATGGTTTTATCCAAGCTTGATTTGACTATAATTTGATCAATTTTAGTGTCATTATGTTTGGCTCTTTAAATCGTTCAATTTCACTCTAAGATTCTGAATGACTTTTTAATTTAAGTTTAAATATTTTTATTAAAAATTTATATTGAAATTTCCGTTATATCGCAGAGCTTTGTATTGATACCTAGCAAATATAAATATAAGATTTTATTTGCTATATATATAATTTTAGTTTGGAGTTATATGGAGGAGTATGATTCACGGTCTGTGTCGTGGTTGCTGACAGGTGTCATAAAGAAGGACGGCTGTCACCGCCGAGCTGTCCATATTGTGATTTGGGCAAAGTCATGTGCAAAGAGGCCAAAGAAAAAAACAAATAAAGGTCGATAAGATGGCAGGTCCTTAGAATTTGAAAGGTGTTTTACAGAAGGAATAATTCTGAAGTTTTTTTTATTAAGAAACCTTTTAAGAAATAGAAGATTTAAGAGTAATGTGGGATAATTTTATCTTTTATTTTATTTATATTTTAATTTGAAGAAAATGAATTCGATTAAGATGTGATTAATTTTATAGTACTTAAAATATTTAAATTTTATTTTGAGTTTCATTAAAAAATAGATAAATTCATATTTTAAAGCAAAAATAAAAATAAATAAAAAGCACATCAAATAAATATATTTATAAAAAAAATTGATCTCAAAGCAGCTCTTAAAAGCTCTTAATTAATGATATTTTCTTAGAGTATTGATTGATAATGATGAAATTTTGTATATTTCGGTAAAAGGCCTCAATGGGTACCTAAAATTTCTATCCTACAGCTCTTAAATAATGATATTTTCTTAGAGTATTGATTGATAACGACGAAATTTTGTATATTTCGGCAAAAGGCCTCAATGGGTACCTAAAATTTCTATCCTAATAACTAAATGAGTTAATGATATGTTGGTAGGGCTCTAAGTGAACCAATGCACTTGATGAACAATTCAAACTTGGCTCTGTAATATCTGATAATGTTTGTTCAAATTAGTGGTTGAATAAGTTTGAAGGCCTTTCAATAAATTGGAGCTTAAATGAATCAAGTTTGAACATAGTCATGCTTATGAACAAATTCTTTTGTTGTTCAACAAGTAAAATGCTCAATAATTATAACAAATTGTATTTAAATAAATTTTAATTAATTCATTGTACATAAAAAATGTGTTTGCACTGATCTTAAAGAGATTTAATGTTCAAAAAGAGAAGAGTAAGATGGAGGGAGAGACACTGATAAAAGATCATGAGCCATGCTTGACCGAATGACAAAGTCATGCACTTCAAACCAAATAGACCAAAACCGACTGAGCCACGAGGCAGACAAGAAAATGACCATGTGATACAAGCATAAGCTATCCGAATGTAAAAAAGGCAGGAGAACATCTAAGCCATCTACAACAGAAAAGCTAACTCTATGCAATATCCTATCACCCACTAAAGCTAATCCAAAGAAAGACCTAGTTTTGTAAAGTATCTCTGATGATCCCATGGGGACCCCCGAAAGTTTCCTCACTAGGGATCAAAGATAGTCAACTAAGCTGGATCAACCGACCAAGTAGACCCCGTCGACCCAAATTCAACTAAACTTAGCTGATCGAAATGGAGCCAGTTAGACTATAAGCCAACACTTACAAAATATCAGAAATGCCCTATGATGAACCCCTTCAAAACAAG